CAGACATACCCCAAGGGGTTCTGGACTGCAAGAGGGAACAGACAAAGCTGAGGGATCACACACCCCGCCAGTGGACAAATTTTGTGCACCAGGCCTCTAGTATTACAATAGTAGACATTACTTGGCAAAGAATATAGGGGTGGAGCAATCTATTGCAGCTGACTAAAACCTGATTAAAACATGTCTATTAAAGTCAGACAGAAGGTAGGGAAGCAGAAATAACTTAACTTGTATTAATGACAAATTGGCCCATTTCACACCATTATTTGTGATTTTTATTCTACCTTCCAATGTGTAATTAGTTCTAGTGACCTTTTTTTTTGTCCTCAAAAAATGTTTATTTTTCAAATGTTATTTTTTTCAATTACTCTTATAATAAAAAAACTCTTCCTGTATAGGTATGAAATCACCAGAAGAACCACTGGTGTATCTGCCACCACAGGAGACCTTTCCTAACGACCCCCGGGTAGTAAGTAGACAGAGAAGTTCTGATTACCAGTTTCCATCCTCTCCATTTACAGACACACTAAAGGGCACCACTGAGGAGGACGTGTTAACAGGTCAGGTGATGACAGTGGAGGAGCAGTGTGTGCCAGCAGCAGAGCCGCCTGCAGTGAACGAAACCACAGAGAGGACAGTGTTAGGAGAATACAGTCTCTTTTCTAGGAAGATAGAAGAGATTTTGAAGCAAAAGAATGTTTCATATGTCAGTAGAATTCCCACACCTATCTTTTCAACACAAGAGAAGATGAAACGACTTTCTGAGTTCATGTATTCTAAGACTTCCAAAGCTGGTGTACAGGAGTTTGTAGATGGCTTGCATGAGAAACTAAATTCTATTATTATCAAAGCATCAGCCAAGGGTGGGAATTTGCCACCAGTCAGTCATAATGGTTCTGGTACTAAGATAGCATTGAATCCTCTAGGAAGACATGTCATACCAGTTTCCTCAAGTGACTTCAGTAAACACCTTGAACCATTTTGTAGTGATACTTTGAAAGACACCAACTCTAATGAGCAGCATTCTTCTTCAACTTTGGGTTTAACTGAAGTAGAAGTGAACCAGCCACACCATGCCATGGAGCTAATGGTGACTTCTGATCATACTGTACCTGATGATACTGCTCAGGAACCAGAAGAAAAAGAAACAAAATCACCCAGTGATGTAGACATTTCTGCCCAGCCAGCTCTTTCAAATTTTATAAGCAAGTTAGAACCTGAAGTATTTAACAGTTTGGTTAAAATCATGAAAGATGTCCAGAGAAATACTGTGAAATTTTACATTCATGAAGAAGAAGAGAGCATGCTCTGTAAAGAAATAAAGGTAACTAAAAGAGAAGTTTATAGTCACGTTGTATGAACTTGTCATGTTGGGTTTGACCTCTATAAAGAATTATTTTGTTTTTTTAATATATTTTCATAATTTAATGCAGAATGGAATGAAAGACTAAGTTCAATTAAACTGAAACCCTATGATGTAAATATCTTAGAATTTAGATTATTGTTTAAAGACTTGTTATATACTGCAAATACCTTTATACTGTTCAAAGATTTTAAATATTTTATACTTGGGTTTTTAATGACAGGGAAAGAAAGATACAGAGTGGAAAAGGAAATTGTCATTATATACCCCATGGGTTTTATCAATCAAATAAAAAAAATAAAACTGTCCAGGAATAACCTAATGATAATATATTTTGGTGTTTCTTGATACCTGATTATGTCAGGTTCCCTATAGTGTTTATTGATTAAAAAAAAAAATACTATGATCATGAAAGACTCCCCAGTCATGAAAGATTCTTCACTGCAAGATATGTTTTTTTTCTACTGAAGCTACAGAGTAGATGGGATTTTTGGTTTTAAAAAAACAACAACACGTATTTGTGTGTGTATAGGGTTAGACATAGGTCTATAAACTTTGTAATAATGGGTGTGTAAATTACATATCCAAACAGTTCTATGGGTTTAATATTAAGCAATTAGAATTCACTAAACTGTAGGATTTTAATTTCTTAAGGGAATGCCTTAGGTTTTAAATATGTGCTTCCAATTAATGGAATTTACTTGCCATGATGAATTTCTGATTGTTTTGTAAGAGGAAGCAGAAGAAACTATAAATCAGTGGCTTATAAACCTAGAGTGGCCCAGAAACTCCATGCTGCTGCTATGCCCTGAACCTTCGTCAATTTGGGGATCTCCTATTGACGTCAGCATGCTTCATGTGGTGTGCCCAGGAGAACAGAGCATGGAAATGAGAGTTCTCGGTGTGTCTTTAATTCCCAGTGGTGTCTTGGGAGGATGCAACCAGACTTATTAGGAATTCAATTCCTTGGTTGCATTGTGCCTTGTATGATTGAACATAGAGCTGCTCGATTTTTTCCCACTGCCAGCAACATGTGCCCAAGCACAGTATACTCTTTGGGCCATAACTGCATGTTGGTGTGGGGCTAGATGAGAACCCTGGGCCTAGTGTACTCAGCATTACTCCACCTCCCCCCACCACAATTGAAACTGATTATAACACATAAGAAATGCTTTTAATTCATTCTGGCATGGATTAAGTCAAATTTCTGTTGTTTAGGGGAGGAAAAGCTCTGATTTACAAATCTGATAGGAAATCAGATTGGAACTTTAATACTTTTAATCAATATCCATTGGAATATTTCTGGGAAAAATGTTACAAGGAATGAAAACTGTGAATAAAAGGTTAAGTTTCCTAAAGATTTCTGGAGTCAACCTGATTTGTTATTGTACAGTAAAACCTCGATATAAAGGACTAATTAGGGTGAGGGGTGGTCTGTTAAAGCCAAAAGTCCGTTATATAATAAAGTAGGTTTTCCGAATGCGTATTCTTAAGAAATTGATAAATTAGTTTACCTGTTTTTTTAATATTTTATTTTTTACAGAGAGGAAGGGAAGAGGGATAGAGAGTTAGAAACATCGATCAGCTGCCTCCTGCACACCCCCTACTGGGGATGTGCCCGCAACCAAAGTACATGCCCTTGACCGGAATCGAACCTGGGACCTTTCAGTCCGCAGGCCGACGCTCTATCCACTGAGCTAAACCGGTTACAGCAAGTTTACCTGTTTTTACTTAGACACATTTGTGTAATTAAAATTAAGTATATGTGAAACGTTTAATTTCACAGAAATGTTTTCTATTACAGCAATTTAAAATTTATACTGAATAGGTCTAGTAAATGCTTGCATTCACTAGTTACCGAGAGTAAACAAATGCACATGACTGGGGCATGGCGTAGCGCACGTCAGAACATCGACTGGCATGTGTTGAAACTGCTGCAGAAAGTCACGCTACGTGACAACAGATCATTTGCTGAACACTGTTTATGAGTGGTGACTTGGATTTAAATATGTATAGTGTAGTTGTAGATACATAATATCTATGTTGGCGAAATTACCAGTGTTTTTTTCCAACATAGGCCTATTCGCTAAGTTTGTTTAAAATAACAGTGAATTAATAACAAAAAATAACCTGTTAATTTAATTACAGGCAAATCTTGGTTAAAAGCATTTTAAAATTAACAGGGTGTTAATTTTCACATGACAATACAGACTGAAAAATTTGCCCGTTAAATCCAAAGTCCATTAAATCGAGGGTTTACTGTATGCATTAAAATGAACTGTCATTTAAAGTTCTTAATGTAAAAAGACCAAAAATTATAAGCAGGCCTGATAGTAATTTATCTTTTTATTACCTGACCGTAAGCTGCTCTCAGATCTGCCCAGAAGCTTTACAGGTTAAATCAAAACCAAACTGTTTTGATCTACTTTAGTTTGGGGCTCCATAGAAACAGCCTCTTTGGGTGTGATACAAAGAGCAGTAGACTGGTTGTGAGGTAAGCTGGGTTTAGATTTATGCTAACTAGCCTGCCAACCTTGAGAATATGAATTTGCTCCTGTGTCTGTGAAATGAGGAATGTGAGTTCCAGGATCCTGCAGTTTGCTTCAGAGTTCAGGATTCCTCCAGCAAGCAAAGGGAGCTCTGCCTGAACCTACTACCTTGTGTCCTTTGAAAGGTAGTAGTACCATGTCATCTGCATGGAGGGAGGTATTAGATGGGAGTCTATTTTGCTCGAAGGTGTAAACTGGACAGGCATGACTAATTATAGTATGACTACCATTGTACGTCCTGAAGCTCCTTATGAAAGATTTTGGGAATGTTGTGAATTAAATGAGCTACAGTGGTCAGAAAAGGGGTTTGTAACTCTGAAGGAGGGAGTATACCAATAACATGGCTGCAGATAACCAAGGGCCTGCTTTGAAAGAAAAGGAAAATGGGAGTGAGGAAATGGTTAATGATTGGACTCTGGGTTGCCCAGAATAAGTAGTGGAGCTGAGTTAAGAACCTGGGCTACTCCATTGTTTGTACTGTGTTTATTTTTATACCCCACACTGGCATTTACTTAGCTTTGATTGCATAGCATTGTAACATGTGACTGTGACCATTCAAGCTCTGAGCTTTAGATTCAGTAAGAGCAGACTTGATGATCCCTGAGGCCCTTGGATCTAGCTTAAGTTTATCAGTTTATTTTGCAGTTCTCTTAAATGGATGCTTGCAAAAGAGCTTTGTAATGTTGATTTAGTTTTCTTTTCTTAACAGGAATATCTTATCAAGTTAGGCAATACAGAATGTCATCCAGAACAGTTTTTGGAAAGAAGATCAAAATTAGATAAACTATTAATTATTATTCAAAATGAAGACATTGCAGGCTTCATCCACAAGGTACATTAAGTCAAATTTATCACTTATTTTGGTTACAAAAACATCCTTATTATAGAATCTTACTGCCTTTGAAACTAAAACTGTTTATTTTAAAAATATCCTCATAAGCTTTAGAGGAGATAAAACTTGAGGTTTGGATATTTAGGGCTTGAGACTTAAACAATCCTTCTGTGAATCAGCTTGTGAGATTCAAGTCTGTACCCCTGCAAAATTTTAAATGGCAGCACATCACAGACCTATGTCACTCAAGTCTGCTGACTCTCTTTATATTGTTGTCATCTCTTCATTTGTATGTCCCAGGTAAACCCAATTTTACCCCCTTTGCCAAACTGTCCGTTATCCCTTGGATTTGGAGGTATCCCATTTAGCCCTTTTTTTTTTATTCTTTATTGATTAAGGTATTACATATACGTCCTTATGCCCTCATTGCTCCCCCACCCCCCACTGGTGCCCTCACCCCCCTAGTGTCTGTATCCATTAGTTATGCTTATATGCATGCATACCCATTTAGTCTTTGAGCCTCTCTCAAGTCCTGCTGCCCTTTGAAGCCTTTCCTAACTGTTCAGTATGTAGGTTCTTGCTATCATTTGAATTCTGATTGTACTCACAGGGCCAGACAAGTTAGCATTTTTTTAAAAAAATATATATTTTATTTATTTTTTACAGAGAGGAAGGGAGAGGAATAGAGAGTGAGAAACATCGATGAGAGAGAAACATCGATCAGCTGCCTCCTGCACACCCCGCACTGGGGATGTGCCGCAACCAAGGTACATGCCCTTGACTGGAATCGACCCTGGGGACCCTTCATTCCGCAGGCCGACGCTCTATCCACTGAGCCAAACCGGTTAGGGCAAGTTAGCATTTTTAATTGTGTTTCAGATCTATTGTGCCTTTTCCTTAGAGTGTTTTCTAGTCATGGTAGGTACCCATTACATAAATCTTGGTTTATATATTTGGAAATAATGTTGGGAATATTATTTTGTGCTTGGCTTAGGTTAGTCATGGTGCATTTTGTTAAGGCTTCTCTTGTAGGTTACTTCACACTAGGGTCAGTTCATTCCTTTATCTGTCCTTATTTCTGTTTTTATTTTGGTACTTAAATAGGTACCTGGCCTGGTGACTTTAAAGAAGCTCCCTTGTGTTAGTTTTGCTGGTGTTGATAGTCTGGATGATGTTAAAAATCATACATACAATGAATTATTTATATCTGGAGGTTTTATTGTGTCCGATGAATCCATTCTAAATCCAGAAGTTATCACAGTTGGTAAGATTTATGCATTCTTTTGAGCATGTAACTTCTGTCTTGCCTAAGTTTTTCTCAATAATGACATTTGTTTATGTATTATCCATTCAGCCAATCACAGATAACTAGTACATTTCCATTCATTTTCTTGAGCTTTTTACCTCAAATTCCCCATTCTTAGTCTTTACAAATAATTTCCTCTAAATTTGATGTAAAGCAAGCAAGACTCTCTACTGCACTTGGATTACTTTGGGTTATTGTTATCAACATGTTCTATCTAAAAAAGAATATAAAAATGTGTCTTTAGAGGTGAGGGAGGGAAAGAAAATACTACTTAGGAATGTAGGTGTTTCTAAAAATATCACCAGACACTTCTTTTGTAATTAAGTTTGGGTGATTGTAATTTATTGAATTTAAAATCAACTTCATTATCTCTAACAGAGAACCTTAAAAATTTTTTGACATTCCTGGAAGAACTTAGTACTCCAGAAGGAAAATGGCAATGGAAAGTCCACTGTAAATTTCAGAAAAAACTTAAGGAACTGGGAAGGTAAGATTTCAAAAAAAACTATATGATGGTTGTTAACATTTTGTGCATATGGATGTTGACAAAATTTCTTTCTGAATTTCTCTGCGTTTATAGATTATGGATGCTGTTCAGTTTTTCCTTAACCAGCCATAAGGGAATGTGATACTAAATTATTCTAGCCTATTTGCAAGTGATATTGTTTAGGTAGAAGTTTGCTGAAAGTTCTAGTTATGTATATAGGTAAAATTGGTTTAATCTTTGCTACTTGGGGGTTTTGAATAATAATCAAAATGGAATAATCAGTAGTCTTTATTGTTTTTACTGAAGTGTGTATGCTAACTAAATCAGGCTTTCTCCCATTTGAGGGTTACCTTAGGCTGCTAATTTAATAACAGCTCACTTAACTGAGACAAGGATTGGTCTCAACATGATATGGGGATTTGTGATCAGGACATTCACTTATGTCCTAATCACCTACATGGCCAGAAGTCACTTTTCAAAGTGTGAACCTTGGAGCAACAATCACTTTGGGAGGCTCCACAAACAATTATGTAATCAGATGAGTTTGGAATCCTATATCTTACTACTAGAGAGTCCATACAATGTATTCACATATGTAAGGATCTGACCAACTCTGTAGTTAAGAATTCTGTTTTACATTTTGTCAACCAGCATTTCTTAAATTTAGACCACAAAATATTTCTAATATTTATTGATATTCCATTGTACATACTTAGGGAAATCTATGCTTAAATAATTTTAAAGTATTTAACTTTTGATAGTAATTCTTTTTTTTTTCTTTTAATCCTCACCTGAGAATATTAATTTCACAGATTTTAGAGGGAGAGAAACGGGGAGGGTGGGGACGAGGGTAGAGAAACATGGATTGGTTGGCTGCCATATGTGGTCCAACCAGGGATCAAACCCACAGCCTAGGCATGTGACCTGACCAATTGAACCTGCAACCTTTTTGGTGTAGGAGACAACATGCCAACTAACTGAAGCCATCCAGCCTGGTGGTAGTAATTCACTTTTTAAAAGCTTGTTTTACCTTCAGATCTTATCTTTACATAACAGATAGCAGTACTGAGGCCCAAAGTTCTAACTTGTACAAAGTTAATACCATCCTGTTCCTGACAGTAGTCGTTTGTACTATTTATTGTTCATTTATTTTTTTGTTACCCATTTATGCCTTCACTAAAGTTCTAAATTGGGGAAAATAAAAACTGTAAATTTGTTACTTAATAAGTGACTGGTTGAGATTTTAGTCTACATTGAATAGCTGCCCCTCAAGCTTTGCCTGCAGAGAAAGCCCGAACTTTACATGTGGTTTGCACAATTGCTGCTCTCTCTCCCTCTCCCCTAAGAAGCACCCCTGTATCAGGCAGTGGGCTAAGCAATGCAGTTGTCATTAGTTGCCTCAAGTTAGAGATTATAGTTTTAATTTGAAGCAGAAACTTCCACAGTAAATTTTAGGAGATACTGAACTACTTAATTTCACAGGTTGAATGCTAAAGCTCTAAGTCTGCTGACGCTTCTGAATGTCTATCAGAAGAAACATCTGGTTGAAATTTTGTCTTACCACAATTGTGATTCACAAACACGAAATGCTCCAGAATTGGACTGCCTTATCAGACTTCAGGCGCAGAATATACAGCAACGACACATAGTCTTTTTAACAGGTAAGCAGTGGTCTTCAGCTTTCTACTAGTAATATAAGAATGTAGATGAAAGGATTTTGTGGGGCCATAGTGGGTATTGATTGCTAAGCTGTGATTCTGATAAGGGTGGTGGAAAGAATTTTAGGAGGGCTGGGAGGAGGCATCATTTGTCCATGCACATTTTTAAGTATTTTACACTCAGAACATTTTCTTTTTAATTTAGAAAAGAATATCCAGATGCCCTCCAGTTATACAGATAGTGGAATAGTGGTTGCATCTGCTGAAGCTTTTATGCAAAACTTTAAAAATCTCGTGGGCTATCACAACTCAGTCACAGAAGAAAACCTTCCACTGCTTGGTGCTAATGAGACTCTTGAGTCACAGTCAGGTAATGTTTTAGTAGTTTTCCTTTTCTTTAAGGCAGACAGAAAAAGAGGAATGGTTTCACTCTTTTCATATGATGAGATGCCTATTTTGAAACCACTCACACCACAGGTAAACAGCTTCAGGGAAGTGTTTCAATGAATTTATCATTTTTAGTATACACAAAATCTCATTTATTATACAGTAGTCAGTACAAGCTGTTCGTTTCTGTGGACTACACACTATAAAGTAGGCATTTTCTCTTTGAGGTATTATAAGCTTTATTGGCTGCTGTTGTCAGCAAAGGGGTTATATTTTTTAAAAGGACACCAGAAGTGGGGATTTGGCATTGGGGTACTAAATATCCCCAGATGTACAAAGTAATTTAATACAAAGTAGTAGGGATATCCATAGCTTTAGTCTTTCATGCCATTAATGGCCTCTGCTTTGGTTCCAGGTTTTATGTAAAAGATGCCTTTTTGTTTTTGATGAAAAGCAGAGATCATTTGATAGAGCTAACCAGTTTAGTAATCCAGTGAAGCTAGATGTCAGAATTTTTATTTTGTATTTGTCTTGTCAAATACTGAATTACCGTATAACTTTAGATGCTGTTTTGACATTAACCCCTTTGGAGCTGGGAGTTGGGATTTCCCAACATTAAACGTGAACACATTTCGCAGAAGCTTTTAGCATCGGATTATCTGGACATTCACACCTAGTGTGAGTGTTGTGACTAAGTGAACTTGTGGCAGAAGACCAAGATTTAAGGGATTGTGGACTTGCAGACCCTGACGCATTATATTGTGTGAGTAGTGTATAATTTTAAAATTTAAATTGTGTATTTCAATAGAGTAGGACTTTTTGTTTTTTAAATGTAGCTCTTTTAGAAAACGATGAAAAGGATGAAGAGGATATGTCTCTGGATTCAGGGGATGAAATCTCACAAATAGAAGTGTACAGCAGTTCAGAAATATTGGCGAAAGAGACCAAAGGATCACGTGGAACAGATCAAAATAAGAATATTCAAATTGAGTTGCAATCGTCTCTTGACGTGCAAAAAAGTTTATTAGAAGATAAGACTTATCAAATTGATTCTGAAGAGAGAGCTTCTGTTGATGCAAGCTCTGAAGGACAGAACAATTCAGCTGAACAAGATTCATATAGCAACTTTCAGGTTTATCAAAATCAATTAAATATGTCCCATCAGTGTACTCATTTTAATGTTCTCACTCACCAGACATTTTTGGGAACACCATATGCCCTTTCATCGAGTCAGTCTCAAAGTGAAAATTACTTTTTATCTGCTTATACTGAAAGCTTGGGGGAAAAATGATTTTGCAGGCCATCTTCAAAAGAGAAATAATTACAGTTAACTTTTTTTACATAGGTTGTTAATGGACTTTTTTTCTGTTTCTTAAAAGTGAATTAACAATTTATATTTCATTCTTTAAGCAAGAGGTTTCTGTCCTTTCTCAAATGTTTTTCCCCCTCTTATTTAAATCATGATGGCCTGTTACAGTTAAAGCATATGAAAATTGAAATAAATATATATATATTTTTAACATATATTGTACTTGAATTATCTCATGTTGGCACTTTTTAAGTTTTATGTTTGTATGTTATCTGTACTTTAGCTTCAAATTGAAGTCTTTTATATATAAAACAAGGTGTTTGCAAAAGGATAGTGAACAGCAATAGCAGTGGCTTTCCTCTATTGTTAGATGATACCAACTACTTTTGCTGAAATGCTGTATCAATTATGGTATTTATTTTCACTTAAGCTTTTATATAGTGTTTTTACACAGGTATAAGCCAGTGATATTAATATTTACAGGATTTTGGCTCAATACCTCAAGATTTATCTAACAATTCCGTTTCATTTTTAGATATTAAACTATGTACATAAGACTTAGGCCTTAATACCAGGCAGCATTATTTTTTATCTTCTGGCATGTTGCTAAAATTCTGGTCAACCTATTATTTTAGAGTACTTGGTAATTATAATTTCCAGTGCTTATGTGACCCTTGACTTACCCTAATTCAATTTCAAAAACTAGGTTTATTAAAGGCACTGGACAATTTGGAACAAACCCTTTGCCTATAAATTTATAAACTGGTAGTCTTAGAAAAGAAGTATCTTTTTGAGGTGGTAAGTACTTTAATGCTAGATTAAAATAACTTTAAATTCATAGATAAAGTATGTGGTGGAGACAAATTTTAAACCCACAGCTATTGACAATAACTGCCTCTCCATTACTAATGCAAACTTGTAAAAGTCATAAAAGTTGGGATTTATTAAACCAGACTTTTCCTTTGGCACTTCAAAAGAAGACTTTTCAGTGTTTTATAGAGCAAAATACATAGGTATTTAAAAAGTGTGGAACAACATTGTCTATTAACAGATTACAGACTCCAGGCTGTGTTAAGGTAAGTAGGAATGTGTTTTTATAGGACTTAATACCCAGATTGTGACAGAGCAGAAAAGTGTTTTATTGTTAAAAAATTATTATATATACATATACAGCATTTTACTACAGAATATACAAATTTTAAATAAGCATTTAAAAATAAATCTAGGCTATTTGAAAAAATACAGTTAAGCAACGAGGACACTTTATAATTTGGAAGACAAATGTGAAGGATTTGATTTTCTATATTGAAAAAGAAGAACTAAAGTTATCTTCTTGATTGGCAGCTAAAGGCATGAGATTAGTTTCCAACTCCCTTTGCTTCTGGAGAAGGCCCTGAAATCACATCGATATGTTAGTAAGGTGTGTAGCTATTACAATATTTGAAGATTATATTTTTAGTATAGAAACAAATAGGGATGACTTTATTCTTAAAAGTCAATATAATTATGGGGCTGAAATTCCCCCCTTTCTGTCCGCCAAATGCTCTAGTGCAGTGATGGCGAACCTATGACATGCGTGTCAGAGGTGACACGTGAACTCTTTTGATTGATTTTTCTTTGTTAAATGGCATTTAAATATATAATATAAATCTTTGTTTTACTATGGTTGCAAATATCAAAATATTTCTATATGTGACACAGCACCAGAGTTAGGTTAGGGTTTTTTCAAAATGCTGACACGCTGAGCTCAAAAGGTTCGCCATCACTGCCTAGTGTTTATCTTGCCTGCACTAACAGTGGCTAATAAAAACCCTGCTGAAATAATATGGGGATGAATGTGTACATCATATTCCTTCATCCTGACCTGTCTCCACAAAGTTGTTTTAGGTAAAAAATCTAAATCTGTATGAAACCAAACCTATCATTTAAAAAAACAAAACAGTTTTCTTCATAATCCTGTGTTGTAAGGATTATTTTCTAGGTCTACAGAAAGAACTAGTAAGCAATACTTGAATCACCAATTTGCAATGCAAGAGGCATTGCTGATAAATGACTTAACATGGAAAAAGTCATTCCTAAAATGGCAGTGTATTTTCCCCAAATACAAAAGGCACACTGTGAATCAAAACAGCAGAAAAAATTTTGCGAGCCTTTTTTTTTAAAAGCTAACTGATGGAGAAAAATTATAGCCTTAAATAGTGATTTTTATTTTTACCTAAGGAAGATTAGAATTCACAGTAATTGGTCTGGGATAAACAGTAGTCTGAGTAAGGTTATACATATAATTTCATATTGCATTCTATTCTTTGGGACTTGTGTCAATGTTCAATTCTAAACACTGCCAACACATCCACTTTTTAAAAGTGTGAACTGCATTTCTAAGAATCTCTTATACCATAATTGTATATTTATTTTCTGCCTTTGGTTTTAGGGCCTTATTGATTGGTCATGTCTTACAATGTATGAATTTGTTTTTCATTCAATAAAAATGTCTTAATATTTGAACTGTATCATTATTTGATGCTGGAAATTCTTAAAACATGGCTAAGTGAAGCAAACTGAAAGTTGTTTCAATTCAAGAATAACATATATAGGGTGGGGCTAAAGGAGATTTACAGTTCTTATAGAAAATAATACAAAAATATAAACTGTTTCACATATAACTATAAACCTACTTTTTCTCCATCCCTGTAGATACTGATGTTTAACTGGGATGCAGTCACATAAATCATGTAACCAACCTGGCATTTGGTAAAACAGTCATCCCAACACAGCCAGACACAGAAAAGTCACATCCACACTTCATAAAAGAAAAGTTCATACCTGTCTCAGTTCTGATAGTCCCTTTAGGATTGCTTGCTGTCTATCCCTGTTTTTCACCAAGTTAGGATTAAGAAGTGGGTCCAAGTCAGATAGCTGTCGTTCTTGGTCACAATCTAAAGCCAGATGAAAATGACAAAAACATTTCTATGATATATATAGCACTATGCTATAATATATTCTAAGGATTCATAATGAATTTATATCCTAGGAAAGCACCAAGCAAAATTTAATAATGGGCCTCAAAAAACTTGGGCAATCCTTGTTAAGATACTTTCTAGGATAGGAATACCAATTTTGAATTTACAGTTAAAGGGGAGAATACTTACTATGTGGATTTTGATACTGAGGATCCTGGGTTAGAGGCCTAGACAATGGCGCATCTGGATCAAGGTAATAGATCTCATTGGTTCGAACATAGGGAATAAAATGAGATGGTTCAGAAATCCTGGGTGATAACTCTGTTTGATTGCCTCCTGAGATCAGATCCTCTCTTTCGTAATTACTCTTTTTCAGTGTCTGTTGAGTTCTGTTTTTCATCACAGGAACTGGTGGTGATTGAGACCTGTATTTTTCAAAAAAAAGCATAAGGACCAATGTAAATTGTATATTTCAGATTAACCATATCTAATCTTTAATTACATTTCAATTTATCCTAAATGTACTTATAACACCTTTAGAAACAGAACGGGATTAATATGAGTTTTTAATAGTACTTGCTAAAGATATGTATACTCTCCTGGGGGTGGAGTGGGATAGGGATTAAACTACTAGATCCTGGGGGTCAACACTAGGTTATTTAATTCTAATGTTTCTCAGTTCATCATAAAGTAATATACTTACATCTGACCTAAACTTGCTGTTAGAGCCACATTCTGAGACAACTCTGAACCAGCTATTTCTTTCTTACATAAAGACATAAAAATTCTAAGTTATAAATCTCTCATTGGTTAATTGAATTTTTCATTATTCACACCAGTCATTTCTTCCCTCCCCCCACACAATCCAAGCAGAATGTCTTAGATTGACACTTGTTTACATACCAAAACCCAATCCAACTTAGCCTTCAAAATCTAGGTAATTTTAAATGCCATCTACCCTTTCCCTTAAACCTCTATTCCTCACCTCAAAATCACACTTTCCTGTTTCTGTCTTCAAATACATATATACTTGACCTCACCTATATTTTGAGCAAATATTTTGTATCTCTTGTACCACATATACAGTACTAACTATGGAAATCGTGAAACATACCTTTCTTTGCTGAAATAATTAATTTTCAGAGGTTCTTCTTCCTAAAAGATGGATAAATGCAGAAAATAGTATTTGCATATGTTTCCACAATACTTTGTGTTTATTTGTTGAAAAAAATCTAAGGATAATAATTGGATAAAAGATACTAGATGGACTCTGTAATTTTCCAGAGTCAGAACAAATCCATTATTTTCTGATTTTATAAATTATCCTCTGTCTATATGGATCATAAGTTCTGAATGGGTATTTGAATAAAGAACAGCTTTAATCTATATAAGGTTTAAGGGTAAACTTTTTCTATAAAGGACCGGATAGTAAACACTTGCCTTTCTAGGCCATGTGATCTCTGTTTCAACTACTCTAAATAGCAGCTGTTGTGTGAAGCCAGCCAAAGTAATACATAAAAGAATAAGCATAGCTGTGTATCAACAATTTTATTTACAAAAGCAGGCAGCAGGATGGGTTTGCCCATGGGCCATAGTTTGCCATCCCCCTGTGTAAACCAACTCCAGTTCAGACATAGAAACAGCTTTGTGAAAACATGGGGAACTGTGTTTTCAATCTAGAACATCAGTACATGTTCTTAAATATATTTTAAGATAGAAGAGCTTTCTTTACCTTTTTGACTAAATGCCACCTGAACTTTGGCTCTGTGTCTTGATGAGATGAATGAAGAACTGGTGAAGTGCCTCTGTTTTGAGAGAGGTTTCCAGGATTATTTCTTTCTACTAAATGTAGCAGTTCCATTTGCCTTCTTACTTTTTTTTCTTCTCTCTGCTTTTGAAGCTGTTTAGGGTACTTTTCTGATGCTGGAATATACCCTTTGAGTGGTTTATTTATATTCCATTCAGGTCTTTTAGAACATTTCTTCATATGTTTTGTTTGTTTCTCTGTTCTTGTGAACTGACTACACTGGTCATTACACCAACTGCTTTCTTTTTCTAAGTTGGCTCCTTTATTCTGACTTCTTAGTTCTTGTTGTTTTTTCTGAGTGTTAAACTGTTCATTAAATTCTGCAGGAATCTCGGGAGATGAACAATGTATAATTTCCCTTTCCATTACTGATCCATACTGTGATTCTGTGCTGGTGAATATTGCAATATTTAAGTCATCTGAAAAAAGAGCTTAATATGATTCTTAAAATTGTGGTTAAAATATAACAAGTTTTACCATTTAAAAATAGTAATTGTTGTATTACTGCCCTCTAAAATGTTTTTCTTAAAATTCTTAAAACACATTCTATACCCATTAAATATCTCCCCATTCCTCCCACTTCAGAGTCCCTGGCAACCACCATTCTACTTGTTTCTATGAATTTTATTACTAAGTGCCTCATGTAAGTAGTCACACAGTATTTGTCTTTTTGTGACTATTTTCACTTAGCATAATGTCCTCAAAGTTTATCCATGTTGTAGAATGTGTCAGAATTTCTTCCCTTTTTAAGGCTCAGTAATACACTGTATACCACATTTGTTTATCCACTCATTTGTCAAGGGACACATAGGTTGTTTCCATTGTTAATAATGCTGCTATGAATATGGGTGTCCAAATATCTTTTAGAGATCTTACTTTCCAGTTCTTGCAGGTATACAAGAATTCTTAGATCATATGATTTTCTATATGCACCATTTTACATTCCCACCAATAATGCACCAGGGTTCCAATTTCCTCCATTAAACCATTTTAAAAAATCTATTTTTATTGATTTTAGAGAGGAAGGAAGGAGGAGATAGAAACATCCATGATGAGAAAGAATCAATGATCGGCTTCCTCCTTCCACACTGGGAATCAAACTGTGGCCACCTGGTTCATAGGTCAAAACTCAACCACTGAGCCTGTGGCTGGGCTTTTAAACCATTAAGTGTACAGTTCAGTGGCATCAAGCACACCTGCACTGCCACACAATTTTAGAAACTTTCAACACCCCAAACAGAAACCTTGTACCCACTAAGCAGAATCTCCCATTTCATACACTCTCCCAACCCCAGCAAGCTCCACTCCACTTTCCGTCTCTAAATTTGTTCACCCACCCTAGGTTTCTCAAACAAGTGGATCATTTATGCCAGGGGTGGGCAATCTTTTTTCTGCCAAGGGCCATTTGGATAATTAGAACATTCGTAGGCCATACAAATTATCAACTTAAAAATTAGCCTGCTATATTTGGTCAAACATGTAATTAACTCATCCCTAATGCCTTGGCAAGGCTTTATACAATCTGCAGGCCAGATGTTCCCCATTCTTGATTATGTTATACTATATATCAGAACTTTGTATGATTCATTTGTAGCATCACATAATATAGACCATTTTCTTTTAGACCATTTTTTAAACAAAACCCCACAGGATTGTCTTGGCTTTCACTTGAATATATAAACACCATATGTAATACCATCTACACAAATAAAAGAGAAAAATGGTAATTGGTGTACGACGCTACCTTTTTCATTGGCTAATCAGGGCTATATGCAAATTAACAGCCAACTAAGGTGGCAGTTAACTGACAACAAAGATGGCGGTTAATTTGCATATGTAGACACAATGCAGGGAGGTGAAAGGGAAAGCAGGAAGAAGCCCCCTGCCACTGACAGTGATTGGAAACCCA